ATCCCCAGTCAAGATTATAATCCCCAGTCAAGATTATAATCCCCAGTCAAGATAATGCGTCCCCAGTCAAGATTATACATCCCCAGTCAAGATTATACATCCAGATGCAAGATTGTACATTGCAAGTCCAGATTGTGCATCCATCATCAAAAGTTTACATCCCCAGTAAAGGTTAAACACCTACGTCTAGATTGTACATTCCACATGAGAATTACACATCCCAAGTCAAATTTATGAATTTTAGTTCATTATAAATGCTGCATGTATGTTTTTTTTTTTTTTGGGTAATTGATTTTCAGTTGTAAACATTAATATGACAGTTTATGGCACAGGATGGACCAGAAGGGAGAAATGGAATGCGTGAGTCAGCTGATAAATATTTGTTTTAGGTCCTGCCGAATGTATTCCATTTATTGCTTCACTGTGCTTTTGTCTGTTGATTACTTCCTTTATTTATTATTGTACATTCGGAAGCAAACATTTATAGAATGTAGATAAATCAATTTTTAGATAATTTATTTGTTACCTGTGTAAAATTTATACGATCAAAGCATCATGTTTTGGAAATTCCTACAAGTTCACAAACCATTTTATTTAGCATTTCATGGCTAAAGGGTTATGTAATTTTAGCATGATGTTTTCAACATTCATAGCCAGATTCGTGGAGTCTGCTTAAACTGCATACTGTATGTTCTTCGTTTCTTTTAAACACCTTATTTCACCTTCAGTAATATTTTTAGCTGGTTATGAATTTTCACATACGTTTTGTGCAAGTCTTGTTCAAATTTGGGTAGCTGTTAATGCTAAGCTTAAGATTATAACTGTCTTATCTGAAATATTACTATATTATTCATTTACAGTTTATTCAAATAATATGAAACTAACATTATTGTTCCCTGTGAAACCTATTTAAACAATCTGATCTCAGCATAATTTTTATCCACAGTGTGTTCTGATCATCTGACATTAGCATGACTGGCCATGGGAAATCTGTTTTAACGTTGTGACTTTTAACCCCTTTACTCCCAAACCCCAACAGTTCCTAAAGAATGCTCAAAAAAAAGCACACACACACACAGAAGAAATGTACATTTTACAGCCTAATAAAAAATTTTTTTTAAATTACGTTTAAAAACGAAATTAAAAATAAAAATTGGGGGGGGGGGAGAGAATAATTAAATATGAATGGAAATGAGAATTAAATGGAATACATTCCCTCGGGCTGATACTATAACCCCGTGATCTCATTGCTATGCCACCAAGAAGAGGATACACCCACATCTAGATTGTACATTCCAAATCAAGATTATACATTTAAAGTCAAAATCATGCATTCCAGTTCACCATAAATGTAGCATATAATATTCATGCTGTGACTCTTACCTCATGACTATATGACCCCATCGTTATGTGACAGCTAAGACTAAAGGCAGATTATGAGGTCATGGTGAATTTTAAAAAAGGCACCCCCCTTCCCCCCACACACATGTGTGTGCGCGCCCTTATGCACACACACCACCACCATCTTCTTATCCTCTATTTCCTCCCAGTCCTCCTAAGCCCTGAGCAAGAGCAATAGATTAATGCCATCAACTAGACCTGTCATGGGCGGGCCAACGCTGCCACATCAGTTTACCGGTTTATCTGTCGTTATGCAGATTTGTAACAGAAGGCGATGCTGTATTAGCCATATTTCAGGGCCAAAAAGTTAACATAATTGTTTAATTGCAGTCTCTTCAGAAAGTCTGGCTTCAACATAATTCTACCGAAATGTTGATTGCTTATAATTATGGCCTGAAACTGTCTCATTCAGTTCTGTTTCTGTATCTTCCAGCCTATCCTGGCATCTCTTTCAGGCCTCATGTTTATTTGATTGCTTTGTTTGTGGATCTCTTTTCAGATGGGATATCAATATTCTTTGTATCTGTTTTGAATTGACCAATTTGTTGTTGTTTTTTTTTAAAACTTTTTTCTTCTGTTTTTTTTTTTCTTTGTGGGAACTGACATTGTGCAGTCATGCTGATTGCTATATAAGTGTTTGAGTGCTGTGTAGTTAAATGAATGATTTATAAAAGTCTAGTTGGACTGCATTGTGTAAGGGTGATATGTTATAATTGTCTAGTTTGACTAAATGTTAAGGTGATTGTATTATAAATGTTTAGTTTGACTACATTGTGAGTGTTAAAATGAATGTGTTATGAAGGGCTGCCTTGACTGAAGCTTCCTTGTTACTTTATTAATCGTCATCATCATCATCATGGTGTGCCATTTATTTTTTCACACATGGCTCATAATCTGTCTCTCCATTCTGTTCTGTCTCCTGAATATCCCTCCATTCTGTTCTGTCCTAAATATCCCTCCATTCTGTTCTGTCTCCTGAATATCCCTCCATTCTGTTCTGTCTCCTGAATATCCCTCCATTCTGTTCTGTCTCCTGAATATCCCTAATTTCTGTTCTATCCTAAATATCCCTCAGTTCTGTTATGTCCTGAATATCTCTCCATTCTTTTCTGTCCTGAATATCTCTCTATTCTGTTCTGTCCTGAATATCCCTCTATTCTGCTCTGTCCTGAAAATTCCTCCATTCTGTTCTGTCCTAAATATCCCTCCATTCTGTTCTGTCCTAAATATTACTCTATTCTGCTCTGTCCTGAAAATTCCTCCATTCTGTTCTGTCCTAAATATCCCTCCATTCTGTTCTGTCTGAATATCCCACCATTCTGTTCTGTCCTGAATATCCCTCCATTCTGTTCTGTCCTGAATATCCCTCCATTCTGTTCTGTCCTGAATATCCCTCTATTCTGCTCTGTCCTGAATATCCCTCCATTCTGTTCTGTCTTGAATATCCCTCTATTCTGCTCTGTCCTGAATATTCCTCCATTCTGTTCTGTCCTGAATATCCCTCTATTCTGCTCTGTTCTGAATATTCCTCCATTCTGTTCTGTCCTGAATATCCCTCTATTCTGTTCTGTCCTAAATATTCCTCCATTCTGTTCTGTCCTGAATATTCCTCTATTCTGTTCTGTCCTGAATATCCCTCTATTCTATTCTGTCCTGAATATCCCTCTATTCTGTTCTGTCCTGAATATCCCTCTATTCTGCTCTGTCCTGAATATTCCTCCATACTGTTCTGTCCTGAATATCCCTTTATTCTGCTCTGTCCCGAATATTCCTCCATTCTGTTCTGTCCTAAATATCCCTCTATTCTGCTCTGTCATGAATATTCCTCCATTCTGTTCTGTCCTAAATATCCCTCCATTCTGTTATGTCCTAAATATCCCTTCATTCTTTTCTGTCCTGAATATCCCACCATTCTCTTCTGTCCTGAATGTCCCTCCATTCTGTTCTGTCCTGAATATTCCTCCATTCTGTTCTGTCCTGAATATTCCTCCATTCTGTTCTGTCCTGAATATTCCTCCATTCTCTTCTGTCCTGAATATCCCTCCATTCTGTTCTGTCCTGAATATTCCTCCATTCTGTTCTGTCCTGAATATCCCACCATTATGTTCTGTCCTGAATATCCCACCATTCTGTTCTGTCCTGAATATCCCTCCATTCTGTTCTGTCTTGAATGTCCCTCCATTCTCTTCTGTCCTGAATATCCCTCCATTCTGTTCTGTCCTGAATATCCCTCTATTCTGCTCTGTCCTGAATATTCCTCCATTCTGTTCTGTCCTAAATATCCCTCCATTCTGTTCTGTCCTGAATATCCCTCCATTCTCTTCTGTCCTGAATATTCCTCCATACTGTTCTGTCCTGAATATCCCTTTATTCTGCTCTGTCCTGAATATCCCTCCATTCTGTTCTGTCCTGAATATCCCTCTATTCTGCTCTGTCCTGAATATTCCTCCATTCTGTTCTGTCCTAAATATCCCTCCATTCTGTTCTGTCCTGAATATCCCTCCATTCTCTTCTGTCCTAAATATCCCTCTATTCTGTTCTGTCCCGAATATCCCTCCATTCTCTTCTGTCCTGAATATCCCTCCATTCTGTTCTGTCCTGAATATCCCTCCATTCTGTTCTGTCCTGAATATCCCTCTATTCTGCTCTGTCCTGAATATTCCTCCATTCTGTTCTGTCCTGAATATCCCTCCATTCTGTTCTGTCCTGAATATCCCTCTATTCTGCTCTGTCCTGAATATCCCTCCATTCTGTTCTGTCCTGAATATCCCTCTATTCTGCTCTGTCCTGAATATTCCTCCATTCTGTTCTGTCCTGAATATCCCTCTATTCTGCTCTGTTCTGAATATTCCTCCATTCTGTTCTGTCCTGAATATCCCTCTATTCTGTTCTGTCCTGAATATTCCTCCATTCTGTTCTGTCCTGAATATTCCTCTATTCTGTTCTGTCCTGAATATCCCTCTATTCTATTCTCTGTCCTGAATATCCCTCTATTCTGTTCTGTCCTGAATATCCCTCTATTCTGCTCTGTCCTGAATATTCCTCCATACTGTTCTGTCCTGAATATCCCTTTTTTCTGCTCTGTCCTGAATATTCCTCCATTCTGTTCTGTCCTAAATATCCCTCTATTCTGCTCTGTCATGAATATTCCTCCATTCTGTTCTGTCCTAAATATCCCTCCATTCTGTTATGTCCTAAATATCCCTTCATTCTTTTCTGTCCTGAATATCCCACCATTCTCTTCTGTCCTGAATGTCCCTCCATTCTGTTCTGTCCTGAATATTCCTCCATTCTGTTCTGTCCTGAATATTCCTCCATTCTGTTCTGTCCTGAATATTCCTCCATTCTCTTCTGTCCTGAATATCCCTCCATTCTGTTCTGTCCTGAATATTCCTCCATTCTGTTCTGTCCTGAATATCCCACCATTCTGTTCTGTCCTGAATATCCCACCATTCTGTTCTGTCCTGAATATCCCTCCATTCTGTTCTGTCTTGAATGTCCCTCCATTCTCTTCTGTCCTGAATATCCCTCCATTCTGTTCTGTCCTGAATATCCCTCTATTCTGCTCTGTCCTGAATATTCCTCCATTCTGTTCTGTCCTAAATATCCCTCCATTCTGTTCTGTCCTGATATCCCTCCATTCTCTTCTGTCCTGAATATTCCTCCATACTGTTCTGTCCTGAATATCCCTTTATTCTGCTCTGTCCTGAATATCCCTCCATTCTGTTCTGTCCTGAATATCCCTCTATTCTGCTCTGTCCTGAATATTCCTCCATTCTGTTCTGTCCTAAATATCCCTCCATTCTGTTCTGTCCTGAATATCCCTCCATTCTCTTCTGTCCTAAATATCCCTCTATTCTGTTCTGTCCCGAATATCCCTCCATTCTCTTCTGTCCTGAATATCCCTCCATTCTGTTCTGTCCTGAATATCCCTCCATTCTGTTCTGTCCTGAATATCCCTCTATTCTGCTCTGTCCTGAATATTCCTCCATTCTGTTCTGTCCTGAATATCCCTCCATTCTGTTCTGTCCTGAATATCCCTCTATTCTGCTCTGTCCTGAATATCCCTCCATTCTGTTCTGTCCTGAATATCCCTCTATTCTGCTCTGTCCTGAATATTCCTCCATTCTGTTCTGTCCTGAATATCCCTCTATTCTGCTCTGTTCTGAATATTCCTCCATTCTGTTCTGTCCTGAATATCCCTCTATTCTGTTCTGTCCTGAATATTCCTCCATTCTGTTCTGTCCTGAATATTCCTCTATTCTGTTCTGTCCTGAATATCCCTCTATTCTATTCTGTCCTGAATATCCCTCTATTCTGTTCTGTCCTGAATATCCCTCTATTCTGCTCTGTCCTGAATATTCCTCCATACTGTTCTGTCCTGAATATCCCTTTATTCTGCTCTGTCCTGAATATTCCTCCATTCTGTTCTGTCCTAAATATCCCTCTATTCTGCTCTGTCATGAATATTCCTCCATTCTGTTCTGTCCTAAATATCCCTCCATTCTGTTATGTCCTAAATATCCCTTCATTCTTTTCTGTCCTGAATATCCCACCATTCTCTTCTGTCCTGAATGTCCCTCCATTCTGTTCTGTCCTGAATATTCCTCCATTCTGTTCTGTCCTGAATATTCCTCCATTCTGTTCTGTCCTGAATATTCCTCCATTCTCTTCTGTCCTGAATATCCCTCCATTCTGTTCTGTCCTGAATATTCCTCCATTCTGTTCTGTCCTGAATATCCCACCATTCTGTTCTGTCCTGAATATCCCACCATTCTGTTCTGTCCTGAATATCCCTCCATTCTGTTCTGTCTTGAATGTCCCTCCATTCTCTTCTGTCCTGAATATCCCTCCATTCTGTTCTGTCCTGAATATCCCTCTATTCTGCTCTGTCCTGAATATTCCTCCATTCTGTTCTGTCCTAAATATCCCTCCATTCTGTTCTGTCCTGAATATCCCTCCATTCTCTTCTGTCCTGAATATTCCTCCATACTGTTCTGTCCTGAATATCCCTTTATTCTGCTCTGTCCTGAATATCCCTCCATTCTGTTCTGTCCTGAATATCCCTCTATTCTGCTCTGTCCTGAATATTCCTCCATTCTGTTCTGTCCTAAATATCCCTCCATTCTGTTCTGTCCTGAATATCCCTCCATTCTCTTCTGTCCTAAATATCCCTCTATTCTGTTCTGTCCCGAATATCCCTCCATTCTCTTCTGTCCTGAATATCCCTCCATTCTGTTCTGTCCTGAATATCCCTCCATTCTGTTCTGTCCTGAATATCCCTCTATTCTGCTCTGTCCTGAATATTCCTCCATTCTGTTCTGTCCTGAATATCCCTCCATTCTGTTCTGTCCTGAATATCCCTCTATTCTGCTCTGTCCTGAATATCCCTCCATTCTGTTCTGTCCTGAATATCCCTCTATTCTGCTCTGTCCTGAATATTCCTCCATTCTGTTCTGTCCTAAATATCCCTCCATTCTGTTCTGTCCTGAATATCCCTCCATTCTCTTCTTTCCTGAATATCCCTCCATTCTCTTCTGTCCTGAATATCCCTCCATTCTCTTCTGTCCTGAATATCCCTCCATTCTCTTCTGTCCTGAATGTCCCTCCATTCTCTTCTGTCCTGAATATCCCTTCATTCTCTTCTGTCCTGAATGTCCCTCCATTCTCTTCTGTCCTGAATATCCCTTCATTCTCTTCTGTCCTGAATGTCCCTCCATTCTGCTCTGTCCTGAATATCCCTCCATTCTCTTCTGTCCTGAATATCCCTCCATTCTGTTCTGTCCTGAATATCCTTCCATTCTGTTCTGTCCTGAATATCTCTTCATTCTCTTCTGTCCTGAATATTCCTTCATTCTCTTCTGTCCTGAATATCCCTTCATTCTCTTCTGTCCTGAATATCCCTTCATTCTCTTCTGTCCTAAATATCCCTTCATTCTCTTCTGTCCTGAATATCCCTTCATTCTCTTCTGTCCTGAATATCCCTTCATTCTCTTCTGTCCTGAATATCCCTTCATTCTCTTCTGTCCTGAATATTCCTTCATTCTCTTCTGTCCTGAATATCCCTTCATTCTCTTCTGTCCTGAATATTCCTTCATTCTCTTCTGTCCTGAATATCCCTTCATTCTCTTCTGTCCTGAATATCCCTTCATTCTCTTCTGTCCTGAATATTCCTTCATTCTCTTCTGTCCTGAATATCCCTTCATTCTCTTCTGTCCTGAATATCCCTCCATTCTGTTCTGTCCTGAATATCCCCCTCCATTCTGTTCTGTCCTGAATATCCCTCCATTCTGTTCTGTCCTGAATATCCCTCCATTCTGTTCTGTCCTGAATATCCCACCATTCTCTTCTGTCCTGAATGTCCCTCCATTCTCTTATGTCCTGAATATCCCTTCATTCTCTTCTGTCCTGAATATCCCTTCATTCTCTTCTGTCCTGAACATTTGGTTTTTTTAATATCGTAAGTAGAATTTAGCTAAGCACCTTTGGCCTCTCTCAGGTTTTCTAAATGTCTTATTTGATTATTGCTTTGCTGCTTTTGTTTTTTAAAGTCTAATTTGATTGTTGCACATCTGTTTTGTTAAATATCTTGTGAATGCCTATTATTATTGCTGTGGAGCTGTTACACTGAATGTTGTATAAATGTCTATTTTGGTGCTTAGCTGTTGTGTTGAATGTTGTGTAAATGTCTATTTTGCTGCATAAATGTTGTGTTGAATGTTGTGTAAATGTCTTGTTTTTTTTTTTGGTTTTTTTTTTATGTATGTGCTGCATAGCTGTTATGTTGAATGTCATATAAAAGTCTCAGACCAAATCTTATTTTCATAAACATTTAGTGGGAATGACTTTGCTGATGAATGGGAACATGATGTTACTACAGTGATTGTTGGTTTCCTATTTAATTTATAATAGATTCAGAATTATATGCAGTCATGATTGTTTCTGAAGATCATAGACATTATGCGTGAAACATTGTTTTGAAGTGTCTGCCTTGACTTGTTTGTTTACTTGATTAAAAGTGAATTCTTTACAAGAGGTAATATTGTTTCTTTTTATTGACAGTTTTTGCAACCTGAAAACTGAATTTTATGGCAGATCAGACCATCATGCTGAATGTTGAATGAATGTTGATTTGAGAATCAACATCATAGCACTCGGGACACTCCCCTAAGTTCTCCGTTCCCCTATCTTCAGCGGCAGATGAAGAGTTCCAGATGTTTCAATGGCACCAGGAACTGCCTAATTGTATGTATATCCGTCTTACCTTTCCCTTGAGCTGAGCATGGGCCAGAACTCCTGGTAACTTCGGCACTGTTCACTTGCTCCCAAAAGGCTCTCATAACATCCAGCCTGTCATACATCAGTTCACAACCAAGTGGTGCAGAACTGGCCAATCTATCTGCCTGCTTATTTCCAAACACACTGGCATAACCTGGAGAAAATATCCAAATAATACTAACTACCTGGGACCTTTGTGGTCAGACCTTCAGCCTTTATTAACAGCTGGTCGAGGGGGGAAGCTGCAACAAATGGACAGATAGAGCACTGCTCTTCTGATCTGACTGTTCTTGCAGCATGCTTTGTTCCAAACATAGTGAGATGATCTTTCTCGTGGAGCAAACAAGGCAGGCCAAGTAGGGGATCCTATTTCAAAAGGCAATACATAGTCTCTATGGTACTGCCCAGGTTTCATGCTTTAGAATTTTCTTGATAGTCAACACACTATTGACATGAGCTGTAATTCTCATGCTTTCCCTGAATCAAAATATCACATTGTTGTCTGGATAGATGAGAAGGTTCCAACCAGGTTTACCATTGTGTTATATTGAAAGGTGCCATCCAAGTTTACCATTGTGATTGATGGAAAGGTACCAACTAAGTTTAGCATTGTGATAGATGGAAATGTGCCAAGCAAGCTTAGCATTGTGATAGATGAAAAGGTGCCAAGCAAGCTTAGCATTGTGATAGATGGAAAGGTGCCAACCAAGTTTACAATTGTGGTAGATAGAAAGGTGCCAACCAAGTTTACCATTGCTTCCAAACATCCAGTACCTCATATCTTTGTTGAAATCAACACAAAGTGGACACTTGTGTATTATTACAGCCCAAGTGAGAAGCAGAGAACAGTGCAAATTTATGTTTAACTCAGATGCTTTGCTAACATCTGACTGTATAAACAGACCAAACTAAAATGGTCCCATCTCAACAATAGAGGTTAGCTGCAGAGCTTGTGTTCACTCACTGCTGTCTAAAAATATTCTTTGGATATTTCTTCTCCAGGTGATGCTGGTATGTTGGGAAATGAACAGACAGATAGACTGGCTGGTTCTGCACCACTTAGTGGTGAATTGATGCATGATAAACTAGATGTTGTGAGGGCTCTTTTAGAGCGAGTGAACAATGCAGAGGCACAAACAGATCATTAGGGTCTGAGGAGAATGGCGCTGCAGGGAGTTACCAGGGGATCTGGCCGATGATCAATGCTTAAAGGAAAGGTGAGACAGATGTACAGTAAGACAGTTACTGCTACCATCGGAATTAGAACTCTTCGCTTGCTGCTGAAGATGGGGATGGAGCACTTATGGAAGTGTTCTGAGTGCTGTGTTGACAATTTCTTATTCATCTGTTAAACTCAGATGCTGTGATAACATCTGATTGTTTGAACAGACCGAACTAAAATGGTGCTATCTCAACAATAAAGGTTAGCCGCAGAGCTTATGTTCATTCACTGCTGTCTTTTTCAATATTGCATGGCAAGGATACAACAACTTTAACAGTGTTTTACATCACTGTCTTATGTTATAAAAGATCACTAATTGGGAGTGTTGCCTACGAAGTTGTAGTGCATCTGCCTCAGAGACAAGGATCCAGCAGTGTGAGTTTTACATCACTATCAACATTAAGTGAATTACAGAAGACAGTGAAGCTCATACTAGAGACAACATTGCAGATATAGATAATCTATTTCAAGCGAACAAAAGAAGAACAACATCACTGTCTCATTTTGTCAAGATTACTAATTGGGGTGTTGCCTTCCAAGTTGTAGTGCATCTGCCTCAACAGTGTGCAAACA